ACATTTCCCAGAGAATCAGGCCCCTCATACTTGTCTTCTGCTGTGGTCCTGTGTGATGTGGTGTGATGCCTTGTGTGGAGCTGTGTGGTGTATTATACAGAGTGTCCCAGTAAATCAGGCAGACTGCTGTCCTTCCTCAAGCAGTGGCAGCAGGGCCAAGCCTTTGTCTGCTATCAACCTGCACCAAACCGCCAAAACACAGAGAGAGACAGGCAAAAGAACAGAGAGGCACAAAGGTACAGAGAGATACTGGAGGGAAACATGGAGATAGCTCCTACCCCCCCCACACACACACACACACACACACACACACACACACACACAAACACAATATTCCCTGATTGCACTGAACTGCACAAGGGATAATGCGAGGCAGATGGTCCAGGATACTAATTAGAAGCCTCTTTGCCTTACTTATCATTACTTCTATGTGTTGTAGAAGTGTTGCCTGCTTTGTTTACAGCGGTGAATGAGAAAAAACACAGCAAACCTTTTGACTTTCTTTAAGATGTGACAGAAAAAAGAGCCCTGTGAGTAAATTAAAGCGGAGATGGATAACAATGAATATTCTTTTACTCTCAGAAGGATTGCCAGTACTAATATATTTTTAATTACTTCATGACACTCTGTTTCTGCCCTTTTAGCATTTTTATTTCTGGCATAATGTTGAACAGAACTCACACGGTCTCCCTGTCAAAACATCGGCATCACATGCAGAAGAATATAGATGAACTGTGAGCAGAATATAAATAAGGCTTTAAAAAATCAGCACTGGTTTTTGGAAATTGACTTTTCAATTTGGTATCGGTCTGATCACAAGACAAATGTTTGCATCACGATTGAGCGCAAATCAAATTAAACACTCATAGAGGCACAGCTGAGGCTCCAACTAAGAAAACACCACCTATCTTGACACGCACACATACACACACCACAAACATACACATACATCTTAAGCCCCTGACATGTTTACCCATAACATAATTAACTGCTGTACAGTAAATCACTGAAATGAGGTGAAACGAGGGAAATAAACAGGGAAATCATGTCCTCTGTGCGCTCCTGAAAACCCAGAGCTCACACAGCAGACAGGTCATCAGACCAACGGTGAGTCATGGTTGCTGTTTTTTTTTTACAAACCAATTCCTGGAAGTTTCTAACATTAACAATCGTGATGGTCCTGAAAATTGCTAATTGAGACAATGTGGAAGAAAACTGCAAGGTACCGAACCACACAAAACAAGAAAAACCACAGAGAGTGTTGTGATGTGCAGCTCCCTGGTCCATTGACGCACACATTAACAGTCGCTTTATGGGTAAGTGCCCCAGACTGCATTGCAAATAGGAAATGGCTTTGAATCTTTCTGTCATGTCTCCTTTCTATGAATTCCTAAGCAGGGAATAACGACTGGCATACAGCACAGGGACAGCATCTCACACAGCAAAAAGGTCTGCGAGGTTAACCCCTGTCAAAACCAAGCTGTCAGCACTCATAAGCAACGGGGCGAGTTGTGGTAGTGGGAGTAAACAAAGCTGACGTCAGAGGAAAGTCATTTGATTGTGTGCAACAACCAAAGATGCATTTGCTTAGCTCGCTCTTCTGTGTGTCCTAGAGCTGCTGCTGAGTATAATTTTTCCAGCTGTGTTAATAAGAAAGCAATAAACCAGACAAGAGATCCTGGCAGTTAATTAAAGATCAATCTAACTGCATGAAAAAGCTTCTCCTTTGCAGCCACATTACTCAGGATACCCACTGCACCCTGCACTGTCCTCTACTCTACTGACGGCTGAAGGGTTTAAGGGGGAAATGGTTACTGTTGGGCAAATATTGGTGTTCCCATAGAAACCACATGTTGTACTGATTCCACATGAGAGGAAGCTGTGTTACCAGCTCACAGCAATTGAGGATGTTTTTCATTCAGTAAAACACACACACACACACACACACACACACACACACACACACACACACACACACACACACACACAGCAGTGTAGTCTGACCAATACTGGATTTAAAGTTTTTTTTACAACACCTCAGATTTGTTTTGTTTTTTCAGTTTTTTAAGAATTGCATCCAAGTATCCAAGATACATACTGAGCAGGACATTTTACAGTTAAAACATCTACTTGTCAGACTCCAAATTGTAATGGTGACACTGAATTCTTACCTCATACCTAGTTATACATTTCTGTACTGCAACATCTTGTTACTTATCGGCCGACATATATACAGATACTGATGTATCTGCAGTAAGCTAATATCAGCAGATATATGGGCCTGGCCCATTTCTCAGTGCAGCTCTAGTGTTTAGTAGTTCAGCCACTGTGCAGGAGCAGCCAACATGATATTGAAAGTCAGCCCAGACTGTATTTGAATGAATTTGTGAAGATATATAGAGGAGGAGGAGTGCACACTTCAACTTTGTAATGTATTATTTATGATTGCTTGCCTATCATGGTAATTATATTGTGAAGACTGTGAATGTGAATTAACAACTTTGTTGTCTAATATAACAATACAAAAGCAATTACTAAGTCAAATTTGTTCCACCATGAAAGGGACAGCTCCCCTTTGATTTCCCCTTACTATGCAGCCCAATATGATGGACAACAACTAAACAACATGAAATGTGATTTTACCCACCCAAAGGCATATCATGATGTATGATCAATATTAGAAGAAGGCCTTCTGGTCATCATGATATTTATTCTTATGGCTGTTCCTCAACTCTGCCAGTGCTGTCTAATTCCACTGCACTTTGTTTCCAAATGTAAAACCTGTATAGCTCACCGCATAAGATCACTGGAATAATGCTTTTATGTAAGGTAACATGAGGCCAGGGATCACTGTGGCACTAAAAACTGAATCACTGAATGAATGCAACTGAAGGAGGAAATGCTGGATTTCCTAATGGTATTGACAAAGAAACGGTCTTAAACCAGGATCATTAGGTTGGTATCTGCACTGATTGGTTCATCCCTAACAATCCTGAATAATATGTCCCATTAAAGATCCAAGGAGATTTGGAATAAGCCAAAGCTTAGAAAATACATTCAAATCAAAGAAGACTACTGAAACATGTATACAATTTGATTTATGGAGAAGGCAGAGGTGTGTGCGAAGTTAAGAACTGGTACCTCGAATGTTAAGGCATATATAAAGAGCAGTGTTTTTGTTTGTTGGGATCTTTGTGTTGCTGAGGATGATTTTCATTCTGCCCAAGAATTATCTGTTTGAATAATTCAGTTAAAGAAACCTGATTTGTTTTGGTTGTCTGAAGGGAACATGTTGAGTTGGCTCTCTAATGAGGAGGTTTTTGTTTTAAGAGAGATTTATAGAAAATGTTCGGCAGCTAAGACAGAGACACAATGGGGCATTTCTGTTATGTAAATGTAAATTGATTTGTGGAACTTCACATGATGATTCGTCATGTGAACATCCTGGATATCCATATTGTTGCAGGACACATTAACAAATCAATCAAAATCCAGAGCGCAGTGATGAGAGTTGCTCCTCTCCCTAATGTATTAAATTACATCCCAAAAACAATGAAGAAGACAATCATGGGGACTGTAACAAAACCCTGGATCTTTCTTTGGAGCTAAAAGTATGTCCTCCATTTTTTTCAAACCAGTAACACTATACGATATATATAGACAGCACACAGACTATCATAGACGCCAGTGTAAAAGACCACAGAAACCAATCTTTACATAGCTGAACACTATAGTGTACTCTTTAACCCAATTTGTACTGTATGGCTCAGGTGCTGCTACTGCTGGGCTCATGTGTTTGAGAATGGATGTGCTGACTGTGAGAAGGAGGAGGTGAAGGGAGGAGGAGGAGACTCTGCTACTGTAGCAGTGCATCAGCAGAGGTGAGACTTACAGCCACCACATCACAGTTTGTAGACTGGAGAGTGGTGATGGGTCTACTGTTGGATACACATACTTAACATACTTGCAAAGAACATGTTTTTTTTTTGTTATGTTCCCATTCAGGGTTGCTGCCAAATCAGTGCACACGCAGACATTAACTGTCTTTTGCATCCTTTCCTTCAAGCGTTCATGGTTTGAAGGGCAGCTATATCGGCCAGCCTTACCCCAGATGCCTCTCATGCCGCCAGAGACAGACAGACCTACAGTGGGCTACAGTATGTGTGTCATTAGTGCTGACCCAGATGCTCTGAAACACTGACTGTCCTGTGACTGCACTGCATTCCCCACAATATGTCCTTTAAGCTAATTTACAGACTATAATACTGTTTTAACCTCTGCATTGAAAATGCAACCAAAAAATGAAATTCAAATTGCAGAAAAAAAGGGGGGTGGGGAGTTAAGTTGACATGGGACATGACATGGGAGACAAAGTTGAGGTTGAGGTAGCTCATAATGAGCCCAGCGACTGCAGAGGAGGAACCTGGGTTCAAGGTCTGACTGGGCAGTGCAATCTGATCAGAGAGACAAACTGAGTAGTCTGGCTCCAGGCTCAGGTGGAAAGATTAGTAGGTGAGGGAGTTACATCACATAAAGCAAAAAAAAAAAAAAAAAAAACCCTGCGCAGTCCAGCATCAACACCGTCTCTCACACAACATATCATGTCAGTGCGGTCAGTGATGGAATCCAACCCTGAACAATAGCCATTTGGACACATACCCTGACTGCGCAAATTGCAATGCAATAACAGCCTCCTGCACACAGCATATATGCAAAGAAGCGTATAGGTTGCCTGGAGGTTTTTTTTTTCTTTCTTTCTTTCTCTTCCCTAAAATAATGATACTGCAAGCTATTTAAGCCGACCACCGCTCCGTCCACACAGCCTGTGAATCATGCACCCAGCAGCAATACTTGTGCGGATTACAAAACGCTGCCTGTGCGAAACAAAAAAGATCAATTTTCCACCCGATATGCTTTTAACGCTTCACAATTGATGCCACTCGCAGTGGAGCATTGGATGTCACAGGCAAGGACCGGACAGCTGCGGCGGTGTTGCTTACCCTCTGCGGCCAAAGCGCACCGGACAACAAGTAAAAGCATTCCCACAGACAGCAGACAGTTCGCGAGCATCCCCGCTGCTCCGTTGCTCCGCCACCTGGTCCTCAAACACCTCCCCTCTCCTCCGGCATCCGTCCTCCGCGGCGAGCACCCACCGGGTTCCGCTCCGCCGGCTCCCACCACGTCGGGGTGACCCGTCCGCCCACTCCTCAAACCGGGAGCCATATCCAGTGGATAAGTTGCTGAAGTTTCGGTCGTAAATAATACATTGGATCAATCCTCGTGTTCGAACGGGAAACACAGCGGTCCCGCGGTCTCGTCGTGTGTCCAGGGCTGGGGGAGACTAAGGGGGGGGTTGAGGTGGTGGTGGCGGGGTGGGGGGGGGGGGGGTGGTTTGTAGGGAGAAGCGGCGTTGAAGGGAAATTAAGAAATGCGCCCTATCGCTCCGCTCCGCTCGGTCCACCCATCATCATCGCCGTGTGGCGCAGGGCTGCGCGCACACTTTCCAAAGGTTTGACATTTAGCTGTTCCAGACCTGCTCCAGATGGACGCCGGGATACTCTGTGCGTGTGTGTGTGTGTGTGTGTGTGTGTGTGTGTGTGTGTGTGCTCGGGTGACGTTTAGCCCGCAAATGTAAGGATAGGGCAGCTGGTGGGTGGATAATTTTAAAGTGTAACACTCCCCCCTGGTCAAAGTGCGCAAATTAGCCTCTCTGCCGTTAATTGTCGGGAGAGAGGCAAAGCGCGCCGCCTGCAGGACGACCTCTGCTGGTGAGGGAAACAGGAGTCCATATGAAGCAGTCAGCTTCAGACGTGTTAACGTACACGGTTTGTATTCAAAAATACATTTTAAAAAAAATGTCTTGACCTCCACTAACAGGTATGTGCAGGTTGCCCTGAGGGGTACAGTGCTACCTGAATGTGTTCATGGTGTAGATACAAGGACAGCTGCTGTTCCTCTTCACCTCCACCAGGTGTCAGCCAAGACCCAGAGAAACCTCATAAAACCCGTAGATGATGAGAGGAGATGAAGGCCCCTTATTTTTTTGCATTTTAAAGGTTCTAAGGTGATCAAATCAGACAAACACCATCTGACAGAGAAGCTTTTCTTAAAAAGTAATTTGGACTTTTGGTGTATAATTTCTGACATTAAAAACAATAATGGCATCATTTATTTAGCAATAATATGTTTGGTTTGTTTGACATGGACTCCAGGGGGAACAGAAAAGTGCTCACCCATATATATTAGGCTTCTCATTTGAAAAACAATCTTGCCACAGGGGCCCTTTAGAAGCTGTTGTGATCTGCTTTCAATCGTATCACATGATCTTCATCAGCACATGGAGTTTGTCAGTTATAAATTTATCAGTGAATCTATTATTGACTGACAGAACATTAATGACATTAATCCACAACACAGGTCTTGGTAATCAATGAATCCTAATATAGTATTTTGCAGTTTTTCAAATGCTAGGATTTGCTGGTTTCCTTTTTTTAGTATAATTTAAAATGGAACATCTTTCAATTTTAAACATTTGGCCACAGATGTCCCACTGGACTCTGGGAAAATGGAATGCACTTTTTTTTAGGATTTTATAGACAAAAGGATTTATCAATAATAAAAATAATCATCAGTTGCAGATCGTCTTACGTTACAAACATTTTGAAAACCATTGCTCCAGAGTTACTAACCAGCAATGTTGTGAAAATGTGGTGCACAACTTTCAATATACCAATATTATACAAGAAAAGAATGAATGAATGAATGAATAAAATGATGGGAAAAAAACAGACCAAGACAAGACAAGCTGCATCAATAGATTTTTTTAATTCAAAGTGAATCTTAACAATAATACACCATAAAGTCTTATTTTGACACTCACCAAAAGAGTCACCTGGAAAACCCGCTTAATGTGACAAAGTAGAGAAGGCTTGGTCACACCTAAATCACTGAGAACTAGAGAGGAAACACTATCGCAAACTGTAAATAGACATCACATCCATAGAGTTAGTTTTCCCAGTCCTCATACTGTAAATATTGCACAGTGCAATTGCTACATGGCAAACTAGTGTAGCACAAAATAAAAAAAGCAAATGAAACAAAAACAAAAATAACAAAGCCACAAAAAATCTACAGGTATTAAAACAGTAACAGTTCAGATTTCATAATCAAGTCTATTTGATGAGCAATCTAAACAGATGATTCCATAACTTGCAGTGTGAATTAACTCTGAAATTGATACAGATGACCAGAAAACTGAAAATAAGAGCTTGAGTAAAACAAACCTCATCAAATCAAAAGAGTAACACAGTAGCATTTAGACTAATACAGACCCTGAATTAACATCTTTAAAGGATAATACCGCAGCAGAGGATTTTTTTTTTTCTGATATCAAAGTCATAACTTTAATAGTAGTAATTTTACAAATGACTGTTTTATCTGTTAAATGATACATGAATCCTCAAAAAAAGTTATCCATAAACCAAGGTGTCAATCGTGTGTGGAAAATTAAAAACAGTTTGAAGATTTCTCTCCTCTTGCATCCATTCTTTTACTAACAAGTATGGGAGAGTTTATGCAGGCGCATTGCTGGTGAATACCTTTGGAGGAATCAAAACACAGATTACATTTCACATGCTTAGTATTGGGGAACAATTTCAAGCACTAATCTGCCAAGTGCATGCCTTCTTTCTTTACCAAAATGATACTTGAGTATGATCAGTAAAGCATACAGGTAAGGAAAAAAAAGCTATCAAAAAACATAACACCATCAATGTCAGTGTTTAAATGTGGAGTATTGCACTCATGACTGACTGACCACAATATTCTCCTTGACCAGAGCGGTTTCCATCCAGAACACAGGATAAACATCCAGATTATACCTGGCTCCACTGATTTTAAAGGCCAGTGCTGTCAACTGTGTTCTGGCTATTCCCCACTCTGGTTAACTTTTACACAATGGAAAAGCTGCTCTGAGCAGACAGCTTCTAGGCAGACAAAGTGAAGCAACTTAGGTGTACATGCAAGCATGGAGATTATCTAAGAACACTTGGTGGTGCAATGACCGCACAATGTAAAGTATTGCATCTGCTGTTCAGCCAGAGTGACTATCCAAAGATTGAGTGTCATATTAAGTGTATGTGTGTGTTTTATTGGTGTGTTATCACAGAGGAGAGTTTGGTGGCGGTTCTCGTCTTGTTTCGGACCACCGCCACCATGTACGTGTTCTCTGCCATGTCTACGAGGTGAACAGAGGAGTACAAGTCCCTGGAATGACACTGGGATGAAGTCATATTTTGTGTTTGTTTTTGTTTTTATTTCTGGTCATGTGGCCGCTAAAAGACTGTCTACCCTATACGGTAATGAACCGTTATTGGATTCTATGCCTTCCTCCTCAAATAAGCGGTGAGGAATCACCATCTTGAACTCTCACTTTCTGAATCTCAAGGCACATACGCAGTGCTGCTCACACTGTCTCAATTTCAGTAAGGAACACATAACAATGGCCACAGTTTCGCATTGACAAAACATCGTTTTGATATGAGACACTAATAAAGGGGAGAGCGATCCGAACACAAGGCAGTTTAGAATATCAAACTGTGACACTGATATTCTAGCCAGATATAACATTGAACAGTTAAAAGGTTGCAATAAATATTTGTTCAAATCAATTTAACAGTAAAACAAGTTGTAAAACGTTATTTGGGAACAGAAACATTGGGCTAAGTTTGTTTTTTTGGACACATGGTCTAATCACCCAAACCCTTACAAGCCTAACTACCTGTATGAGTGCTTAGTGGTGAGCGTGTTTGTGTGTAATTGGTGGAAACATTACTGAAGCTTTTCAATGAACATAATGGATTTTTTTTTCTTTCTGGCATCTCACAGTGCTCCTGTAACACACCGAAGAGTACTGAAAGTATACATACAATGAAAAAGTTAAATCAATCCTGCAAGCTACAGCTTTAGATGTGTACAAAACGTCAATATGAAAACATACAAAAATTAAGTTACATCGATACATCATTTATATGCAGTGATGAGCCCGAAAGGTTAATAAGGATAAAATACTGATGCAAAAACACACACCCCGAGAAACAACAAATGCAACTAATGTTCATCATCAGCAATACAGTAGTTACAATGACACTCCAAATATGAACGCAAAACACAAAAATCAAAACCACTTCTATTTCAGATAATTAGGGACCTATACAAAAATAGCAACGCTAGGTTTAAACTCAGAGAAATCACCTAATTTCACAGCTATTGAAGTGGCAATCATCATATAGCAGCTTATCTATGATACATTCAAGAAGAAATGATACGACTTATTAATTGCCCAATAAGCTAGACAAAACTCGGCCGTTTTTTAAATACAATTTTTTTGTTTGTTTTAATTTAACCCCATTCTACATCTACAGTATAACTGAGGTCTATGCAAACAGAATAGCTACCTTGCTCAGGAAATGAATTACAGTCTTTGGTGCTGCACAAGCAACTTCATTTGAAAATAAAAGACAATTACACACGTAACTAGTAAAATGAACAGAAAAAAAATGCACACACAGCATATCTATATATACATGTATATATATATATATATATAGACTGGTGCTACCATCATATATATCTATATATGTATATATCCTCCCTGACGGAATGTATAAAATAAGCAGTTGACACCGATAAGCCTTAAGCCTTTAACAAATGGTATAATGTAAAGGGAAAAGTTAACTTTGTCACACATGCATAAATGAGAGAATTGCACACAATTAACTCACACCTTATCAAGCATCTGTACTAAATAGTCTAGCTCTATAATATATGTCCATATATGTGTGTATATCAAATACTGCATGGTTTGCTCAGGCTTAGAAGATTCCATACCGTGAATTCGTTTGCATTTTTTCCTTACCTAATCAAAGCCATGCCCACCACACTTCTAAACATCTAAGAAACAAAGTGAACACACGCAAAATGAAAATACGAAGACAAAAAGAAAAATAATCGACTATTTAGATTGTATTGCAGTTTCGTCAAACAGTACAAATACTGTTCATAATAAGAGTTTCACTAAATAGAAAGTGATTATCAAATATTAAGCAATACTCAGTACTTGCACTTTGTACACTAGTTCATTCGGGAAAGGGAGAACAAAAAAAAAGAACAGTTTTTAATGAAACAGTAAGCATTCGCAACAGCAAAGCATGCTGTTCTTCTTGAAAGAACAGAAAAGTAACTCACTACACACTGAAATATACACCGACTCCAAAAAATAAGCACCGCTGTCCGCGATACATCACATCAATGCAGGCTATGCATGGACATATACACATGTGCATATATATACTCACACATAGGATGCACCAACTGA